TGGAGAGACGTTCGTTCATCTAGCAAAAAGGAAACGGTTTGCAGGCGAAACACTCACTCTGGTTTCTCAGTGTGTTTCCTAGTGCTGGTTTGAAGTTCCTGCTGTTTTCACTGTAAAACCGACTTGGAGCTTGTACCTCCCCATATATATGTATGAAGTAGAGTTTGCTACTGAAGAGAAACTTGGTGTTCCCAACAAGCTTGGTGAAGGACGGCTTTCACACACACATATATCTCAGAACTGAGCATGTGCAGAGACTTTCGTTCACCTAGCACAAAGGAAAAGTGTTTCAGGTGAAACATTCACACTTGTTTCTAAGTGTGTTTCCTAGTGCCGGTTTGATTTTCCTGTTGTTTTCACTGTAAAACTGACTTGGAGCTTGTACCTCCCCATATATATGTATGGAGTGGATTTTGCAACTCAAGAGAACTTTGTGTTCCCAACAAGCTAGGTGAAGGACGGCATTCACACACGCTTAACTCTCAGAAATGAGCATGTGGAGAGACGTTCGTTCATATAGCACAAAGGAAAAGGGTTTCAGGCAAAACATTCACACTTGTATCTCAGTGTGTTTCCTAGCGCCGGTTTGAAATTCCTGCAGTTTTCACTGTAAAAACAACTTGGAGCTGGTACCTCCCCATATAAATATATGGAGTGGAGTTTGCATCTTAAGGGAAACTTTGTGTTCCCAACAAGCTAGGTGAAGGACGGATTTCACACACGATTAACTCTCGGAACTGAGCATGTGGAGAGACATTCGTTCATCTAGCAAAAAGGGAACGAGTTATAGGAGAAACACTCACTCTGGTTTCTCAGTGTGTTTCCTAGTGCCGGTTTGAAGTTCCTGCAGTTTTCACTGTAAACCCGACTTGGAGCTTGTACCTCCCCATATATATGTATTGAGTGGATTTTGCAACTTAAGAGAACCTTTGTGTTCCCAACAAGCTAGGTGAAGGACGGCTTTCACACACGCTTATCTCTCAGAACTGATCATGTGGAGAATCGTTCGTTCATCTAGCACAAAGGGAACGGGTTGCAGTAGAAACACTCATTCTGGTTTCTCAGTGTGTTTCTCAATGCCGGTTTGAAGTTCCTGCAATTTTCACTGTAAAACCGACTTGGAGCTTGTACATTCCCATATGTATATATATGGAGTGGAATTTGCAACTGATGAGAAACATTGTGTTCCCAACAAGCTGGGTGAAAGAATGCTTTCACACACGCTTAACTCTCAGAACTGAGCATGTGGAGAGACGTTCGTTCATCTAGCAAAAAGGGAACAGGTTTTAGGAGAAACAAACACTCTGGTTTTCAGTGTGTTTCCTAGTGCCAGTTTGAAGTTCCTGCAGTTTTCACTGTAAAATCGACTTGGAGCTGGTACCACCCCATATATATTTATGGAGGGGAGTTCGCAACTGAAGACAAACTTTGTGTTCCCAAGAAGCTAGGTGAAGGACGGCTTTCACACACGCTTAACTCTCAGAAATGAGCATGTGGAGAGACGTTCGTTCATCTAGCACAAAGGGAACGGTTTGCAGGCGCAACATTTACTCTGGTTTCTGAGTGTGTTTCCTAGTGCCGTTTTGAAGTTCCTGCAATTTTCACTGTAAAACCGACTTGGAGCTTTTACATCACCATATATATATTTATGGAGTGGAGTTTGCAACTGAACAGAAACATTGTGTTCTCAACAAGCTAGGTGAAGGACGGCTTTCACACACGCTTAACTCTCAGAAGTGAGAATGTGGAGAGACGTTCGTTCATCTAGCACAAGGGAACGGGTTTCAGGCTAAACACTCACACTTGTTTCTCAGTGTGTTTCCAAGTGCCGGTTTGAAATTCTTGCAGTTTTCACTGTAAAACCGCCTTGGAGCTGGTACCTCCCCATATATATGTATGGACTGGAGTTTTAAACTGAAGAGAAACCTTGTGTTCCCAACAAGCTTGGTAAAGTTAGGCTTTCACACACGCTTAACTCTAAAAGCTTTGCATGTGGAGAGACGTTCGTTCATCTAGCACAAA